ACTAACTAACTAACTAACTAACTAACTAACTAACTAACTAACTAACTAACTAACTAACTAACTAACTAACTAACTAAATCCAACCCCTGACTGCTGAATCACCTCATCTATTATCTGCTCTGCTCTTACTGCAGGTCAGATCATTATCTGAAGGTTTCTGACGTTACGCTGATAACCTCACACATAATTCAGGCAAAGACTCATTGGTGGGAACAATCTCCTCAGATGGGTTTCATACAGGTTTTTGGTTTAACTGAGCAAGTAATTTACAGTTTACCAGCTTTGTGCTCAGTTATCATGAAATGTGTCAGAGCATCCTGACCTCTGTGGTGTGTGATGAATAAAAAAGGGCATTTTGCACTTTATTTATGACAGATTGTTGAGGATAGATTTCAATAATCAAAGCCAAAACAAACAGACGTGGGTTCTCTGCAATCTGCCTTTTGCAGTAACTGTGCAACGTAACACCTGCGGTCCAATTTAATCTTTTATGTCATCAAGTGAGAGCGAGAGAAAGAGCACGATCAATACTTAACTGCATCAGCGTCTTTCATCTGGAAAACAATTTGCTGATACGTTTTATTTAAAGAGTGACACAGGTGTGGCAGGTGGCCTTGCCTCTTTCTTTTTTCTTCTTTGGCTTAAAAATACCAATAAGTCTCAGGAGTGCACAGCACAGGTGGGTTTATATTTCAGAGCAGTCATTCCTTTTTGGATATACTTGGGGCCAAAATGGGGTTCAAAGCAAAACCTAATGTTTTCAGATGTAATAGGAAACTGAACTCACACACTCAAACTTACCAAAATCCTCTGTGTCTCTTTTAAGYTCCTCCAAAAACACAACCTTCTTTCTCACCACACAACCGTAGCTGTAACCTGGACAGAAGCCGGTGTTTGTTATAGTTTACAGACACCAGACTCACCCAGTGTGTAACGTAACAGCAACGTCTCACCTTTCTCCAGCCCATCCATAACCTGCAGCCTGATGATGTCACCCTTATGGAAACTGAGCATTGAGCGGTCGTYTGTCACAAAGTTACGCTCTGCGACGACGTAATCTGAGTCCTGGAAAAACAGAAACCACTGTTTCGTAAACATGTAGGAGGAGCTTTAGAATCAAATGTTACAGTGGATGTGATATTATAAGAGCTTGCTTCAGTCAGATGTGTATCCATGAAGTAATTTCTACAATTTTCATTAAAATCACTGGTTAATGAGGTTTCTTACTAACACTACAGACACACACACACACACACACACACACACACGCACAAACACACTGGCAGGTATTGGGACAAC